TTGTAGAGCTTTGGTGCAGTTATAACCTTAGCACTTACTGAAATGAAGGTGCAGATCTAAAGTTTGGATTTATCCTGCTGTGCCTGGCTTGGGTCTGGCTGCTGTGCTCAGCTCCTTCCTGCTGCCGCCCTTGGGAGTGAACCTGTTGTTCCCCTCTGGCAGGATGTTCTGCTCCTGAACTAGCTGGGTGGTTTTGTCCCCTATACTCTCTGCAGGGATTGCAGCTGCAGGGTTTCACCCCAGCCCTGTAGTCCAGGCCTGAGCTGAGTCTGGAAGGGACAAGGTGGAGTAGTGGGGAGAGGAAGCTCTCCCACACACTCACCAGGCCTGGGCTAGGACTGGATCTCCATTTTTCTCTTGTTTTATGTCATGTTTTATTTTTCTTCCTTAGACATTTTGCAAAGCTTTGATCTTGCTGAGAAATAAGAATCTCATCAGTCCATCAAGTCTGCTGGAGTTGTTCTTCGAACTTCTGCGTTGCCATGATAAGCTTCTACGAAAGGTAAAGAGCAAATGTCCCCCTCACCCCTACATCTTGTTCTTCCTTGAGATGACATAAAAAGGTTGCCTAGTGACTAATAGCCTACAACATCCAGGCAGGATGTTTTTCTCAAGATTGAGGTAACTTGACTGCTTTAGGCAATAAAGAACTTTCTGTCTCTCACTAATGTAACACTCTTCTAGGCAGTAGAACAGGCCTCTGACACATCCTCATCCTGCCCTCCCAAATAGGATTAACTTCCAATTTCACCTGCTCCCAATAGGCAGTTATGCATGATGGTGATTTAAATTTTTTTGAGAAGACTGATGTGAAAATAGGTTTTCCTTTTTGGGGAATATACCAAGGAATGCAATTTTGGGGTCATACATGACATGATCAAAAAATATGATGCTTTTGAAAACACTTGCTTTTAGTGAAAGACTTGTTGCCATTAATCCCCCAAAGGTTTTTTTTTTTTTTTTCTTCCAACACACATCCTGCCATTCTTTGTGCTTTCTGAAGCAGTTCTGGAAATCTTTTTCTCTTTAAGTGTCAGGTTAGGGGGGCAAGGCCCTAGCTCA